GTTGTTAGGTGCTGTCAAGTTGATTCCAACTCAGCAACCATGTATAGGGTTTCCCAGGAGTGTCTGGTGGGTTTGAACCATCAATCTGTGGTTAGAAGTCCATTGCTTATCCTATAGTACTACACATTTGTTGTTGTTGGTGGTAAGTGCTTTCAGGTCGGTTCTGACCCATAGTGAGCCTGCATAGGGTTTCCAAGGAGTGACTGGTGAGCTTGAACCACTGACCTTGCTGTTCAAACAACTTTGAAGTCCAGCACATTAACCCATAGGGCCACACCAGGTCTGTTTCCAAAGCCTGTTGTTGTGAAGTGCCATCGAGTCAGTTCCAATCCATGGAGACCCTGTATAGGGTTTCCGAAGAGCAACTCGTGAACTTGAACCACTGCTCTTGCTTTACAATCCAGGGTATGAATCCACAGCACCATACCAGAACTCTTTCCAAAGCCTGTTGTTGTTCTTGTCAAGTGCTGTTGAGTCGGTTTCGACCCATAGCGATCCTGTGTAGCGTTTCCTAGGAGCAGCTGGTGAGCTTGAACCACTTACCTTGCGGTTCAAACTGACTTTGCAGTCAACCCATTAACCCACAGTGTCACACCAGGGCTCCACAGAGCTACACATAGCTCTGTTGTATTTTGCATAGCTCTGGTAGCGTAGTGGTTACGAATCGGGCTGCGAACCTTAAGGCCAGCAGTTCAAAACTACCAGCCGCTTCGCGGGAGAAAGAGGAGGCATTCTGCTCCCGTAAAGATTTACAGCCTCAGAAACCCTGTACAGGGTCGCTATGGGTCGGAACCGACTCGACGGCACTTAACAACAACAACAACAATATCTGGGTTGAGTCTAGATGATATTGTCATGTCTGTTAGTCTCAGGTTATTGTCTGCTGTTGTTGATTCTCTGTCCAAAGAACTCCTTTTACCATCTTTTGTATGATAGTCTGGTTTTTACAAATTCTTTTAATTTCTGTTTGTCTGAAAATGTCCTATATTCACAATTGTATTTGATGGACAGTTTTGCTGGATATAAGATTCTTGGTTGGCAATTTTTTCCCTCCGTTTTGTATATGTCATTCTGTTGTTGCCTGCATGATATCTGCTGAGAAATCAGAGTTTAGTCTTATTAGTTCTATTTTGTAGGTAATTTTTTGTTTTTCCTGAGCTCTTCTCAGGATTCTTGTCTTTGATTTAGAAAAGTTTGATTATGTCTTGGTGTTGTGTTTTTTGTTTGTTTTATTGGGGGTTTATCTGCAAAGTTGGTGGTTCATACCCACCAATCACTCCTTGGAGATCCTATATAGAGTTTCTATCAGTCAGATCTGACTCAACAACTCCTAACAATGGCAACAACATCCTGTTTGGAATTCGTTCAACTTCTTGAAAGGCTATTTTCTCGTCTTTCATGATGTTAGGGACATTTTCTTCTCGGACAGTATTCTCTATGGGTTTTTTTTTTCCTCTTCCTGGTCTGGAAACATGCCAAGTTTTCATTGTGATAGCATTCCACATAAATCTTAGGTTTTCTTCTGAATCTTTTAGTACTTTTTTCTTATAGTTCTTCTAGCTAATGAATGTTGAGAGATTTTTCCTCTAGCTCAGTGATTTGGCTTCCCATTGATTCAATTATATTGCTTTGTTCTTTCGATGTACTATCTATTTCTGAAATCTTAGTGTTAATCTTCTGCCTTTCTAACTTTTTCTCTAATAATGGTTCCCATTTTTTCCCCAGTTATTTTGTCAATTTATGTCCTGAAAATTTCCAGTTTTGTCTGTTTTCCTTAATTTCATCTGTAGTTTTCTTAATCCACTGAAGTTTCCTAATTGTTTTAGTTGTTGTTAAGTGCTTTTGAGTTGGTTCTGACTCATAGTGACCCTGTATAGGGTTTCCAAGGAACAGCCGGTAAGTTTGAACCAGTGACCTTGTGGTTCAAACCAACCTTGCAATCCAGTGCTTATCCTACAGTGCCACACCAGGACTCCTATGCCTAGTTCTTTAAATTCTTTATCAGATTGTTCCAATGCCATTTCTAGTGTTATATTTTTTGACTTTATAGTTTGGCCACTTGTTTAAGGCACTCTGTCTTGTATCTTTGTGTAAACTAAAATTATCTGTTTTCTCCGGGTGTATTGATGGTGTATTTATATTCAGTTGATGATTGTATGTTAGTGTATTCTCAGGCACATACCACCTGTCTCCTGGTGGATGTGGTAGAGGCTTGAAGTGTGAATGCAGTTAGTTCTCTGTTCACCATTTGTGTAGCATAGTTCAGGGCAGGTTCACAGGTCTCCAGAAGCAGGGCCACTATGCCAGGTGCCTAATCCCAGGCAGGGTAGAGGCTGAGCAGGACGAGGTCCCACTGGATGCTGGGTTGGTGAGGGCAGGGTCTGACCACACTGCCCTCTACCAGGAGGGCATGAAAAGAAGTGAGTACTGCACCCCCTTTCTACCAACCACCAGCCACATCCTGGGCCTGCAGGCCTGCAGACTGTTGATGAACTCACTCACAAACGCTCAAGATGGGTGAGCTGTTCTATGCCAATCCTCAGTCCAACCATCTTTCTTCTCGCTTACTGCTCCTGTTTGGCACTCAGTCCACCTCTCTGTCCTTCTTTCTGGTGGTCAGGGTTCCAGAATCACCATCTGTACTTGTTTCACTTGGTCTCCCATGTCTTTGTTGCAGAGGGTTGGCTCAGTGCATCTGTCTACTCCGTCATGTTACCCCAGATTCTCCATGAACGTTTTGAAACCCACTTGTAGATAGATCTTCAAAGAGCACCATGCTCAAGGCAGACAGTCTTATTAGTTAAGTTAAAGATGAAACAGTTTTAAAAGTGGTGGCTGCACAATGTCATGAGTGTTCTAGATAACACTGAATTGTCTACTTTAAAATGTTTAATTGTATGTTATGTGAATTTTGCCTCAGTTTAAAAAAAGAAAATGTAGGTCCCAGGGGCCTTTTGGGCCTGATGGTAATCAAAGCAGTATCTTCTCTTGTGGATCCTTTTGGAGCTCATCACTCAGTGATCTTTGTCCTCCATCTATGCTTCCCCTAACCTTCTTTCTGGTGGGCTCCTTCTATCTTCCCTCCCTTCTTCTGGGACCCTCCTTGTCCCAATTCTCTATAACCACTCTTATAACATGTTGTTGTTGTTGTTAAGTGCCGTCGAGTCGGTTCCGACCCATAGCGACCCTGTACAGGGTTTCCGAGGGTGTAAATCTTTACGGGAGTAGAAAGCCTCATCTTTCTCCCGCGGAGCGGCTGGTAGTTTTGAACCGCTGACCTTAAGGTTCGCAGCCCGATTCGTAACCACTACGCTACCAGAATGGCTTTCATGGAAGACATGTATTCTCTCACAGTCTCCATGGTAGAAGTTCACATTCAGGGCACCAGCTCTAGGCTAAGATCCTGTCCTCTTTCAACATCTGTGGGCCTGGGCTTCCTTGGAGGTCTCCTTGTGTCTCGGCATCAGTCTTCCTCTGGGTCTAGGAGGTTTATAGTACATGGACCTCCAAAGGCCGTGCTCTGCTCCTTGTGTTTTTCTTGATAACAGTGAGGTTCCTCTCTGCTTGCTTTTTTCTCTTGTAATAAAAGATATCACTGAAGGGCCTGAGTAAGGGTGTGTGACCTGAGTCACATCCTCATGTAAGGCTGTAACTAAAGACACACCCCACACTTCATCCTAGCTCATTATAAAGGTTAGGATTTAGAACCCATCATAAAGTGGAGCATGGCTCACAAGATGGAGGACAACCACACAATACTGGGAATCATGACCTAGGCAAGTCATCATATATTTTAGGCAGACACAAATCAATTTATGATACCCTCCAGTTGTCCTCTGAGGTAAGATTTTTTAAAGGACATCCCTAAATAAGCTGTCCTCACCTGAGTTACTTCTGACAGAAAGGACATTGTGCCCTTTGCCCTGTCCAGTGGGACCACTTCTGTCACTGTCGCCTTTGGAATTTCTAAGTGGGAATTCTTGGGCATTCTAAACTTCCCAACTGTCAGAACTTCTGGCCCTCACATTCCAGGACACACTCTCTTGGACAGACTGCTCACATTATTTAGCTACTGAATTAATATCTATTGAGGGCCTACTATATACTCCAGGTCCTACTCTAGGAACTTAGGAAAACTTCTGAGAACAAAATAGACCGAAATCCCTACCCTTGAGGTACTTAGGTTCTAGCAAAGGGAATCAGACAATAAACAATAAGCCTGTTATTGTTGTTAAGTGCCCACAAGTAGGTTCCAACTCATAGTGAGCCTGTAGAGGGTTTCCAAAGAGCAGCTGGTGAGCTTGAATCACCAACCTTGAGGTTCAAACTGACTTTGCAGTCCACCGCATTAACCCACAGTGCCACACAGAGCTCCAACAATCAGCACAGCAAACAAACAATTATAGAATAGGTTAGATGGTGGTAAGTTATGGAGGGAGGGGAAAAGACAGAAAGAGTAAGATTGGGGTCATTAGTACAGGGGGTAGGTGGGGAGTGTCCATGTTAAAGTGTGTGACTAAGGTAAATAGAGCTCATTAAGAAGCAAACATCTTGAGCAGAAATGAACATTGAAAATGTTATGTTAAGTGAAAAGGAGGTGAGTGACTGGGCCAGCCAATGGCCTGGGACCAACTCAAGCCCAGGGAAGAGTTACCCAAGCCGCCATTGAGAAGTGAGAGTACACCAGGAGAGGGATTGGCTGTAGAAAGGGACATGAAAAGTAGGTTTTTATCTTGTTTTTTCTTAAAGAAGTATGTCTGTTTTGATGCTCAGAGAAAATGAGACCAGGCTTTGGTGCAGTTCTCAGGAACAGGGTGGCGTTAGCCCAGAGGGCAGGGTTGCTTCTCATCATGGACTTGCACTGTGACCCTGGACATGTCACTTCCCACGCCAGGCCTCAGCTTCTGAGTCTGTAAAATGAGGTGGTGGGTCTAGACAGGCTTCAGGGCATGCAAACATCCAGGATTCTGCTGGCCCCTGAGGAGCCCCTCTCTTAGCAGGAGGGGAATACAGCCCTTCACATGGCTGCCAGCAGGGGCCACTTGACTGTGCTGCAGCGGCTCGTGGACATTGGGCTGGACCTGGAGGAGCAGAATGTGGTGAGTGACCAGCCGCAGCCTGGCCATCCTTCCAGGCCTGAGCTCTGACCCAGGAGAGGCAGAGATGTGTGATGCTCCCTTGCTCCCTGCCACTGATGAACCGCCCACGGTGCCATCTGATGTTCCCTTGGTGGAGACTCCACAGCTAGGAAGCTGAAGATGTTTCTGAACTAGCAACCACAAGGAAAACATAAACAGCAGCTCAAGACTCCTGGGCTCCAGGGACTTCAGGCCTGAGGATTACCAAGACGTGGGGCACATAGCATGTGTTCAAATGGGCACATGTAGTAGGGCTAGGATGGGCAGGGACAGCTTCCTGGAGGAGCAAGAAATAGGTAGGGAGTAGGAGTGGGGCATCCTGAAGAATGAGAAAGATAGGAGCAGAGGTGTGAAGGGGATGTACCCTGTGTCCCACAAAGTGAGAAAGCCAGGGTGGGGCTCAAGGTCATTGTCCTCAGTAACAGAGCTGTTAAGAAGTCTAGCCCCGTGGGCATTCAAACTTTCACCTCTCCACACATCTCCCTGTGTTCCAGGAGGGGCTGACTGCCCTGCACGCAGCTGTAGAAGGAATCCACCCTGACTGTGTGCAGATCCTCCTCAGGGCTGGGAGCTGCGTGAACACCCTCACCCAGGTAGCACCTGTCCTGACCACCACTGTCTGCCCTTGGCCACCGAGCCCAAAGCATGCCAACAATAATTGTCACAGTGATTCATAAATATTGAGCAAAGAGGCTTAGAGACAGCACACCTAGGTCCAGACTTCTTCACTGCTGAACTCTGTGACTTTGGGCAAGTTACTTAACCTCTCTGAGCATTGTTTTCCAACTAGAAAATGGGACTGATATGTAGTTACATTTTTACACTGTCATGAAGATTAAATACCTATGCCAGTGCCCAGGATATAATAGGGATCTGCTAGTAATGTTTTCTTGATAGTTCACAAATCCCCTTCTTACCTATCATTGTTTAAGTCCCTTTGAGTTGGTTCTGATTCATAGTGACCCTGTATAGGGTTTCCAAGGAGAAGCTTGTGCATTTGAACTCTTGACCTTGCAGTTAGCAGTCCAGTGGTGCCACACCAAGACTGGTTACCCCCATTTTGTAGATGAGGAAGCTGAAGCTTAGAGAGTTTCAGTGACTTTCTCAGAGTCACAGAGCTGGGAAGAAGCACAGCAGAGGCTCCAAAGCCTATTCTCCTGACTCTGGGATTCATAGCCTGTAAGCTTTGCCCCAGGGTGTGTGTATGTGTATGTGTGTAGGTCCCTCTACATGGAGGCCCACCTATGCCTTAGCCTTACAAACCCACAGAGCTGGGGCCTGATCCTCTTCTTTTCCTCGTCTTTATATTCCTCATGTCTGACATTAGAAATTCTCCTGGAAAGGATGGTTGTGGCTTTTCCTTATGGTTAAAGGCCTTATTTTTCTCTTTTTAGATCAGTGACAAATAACCTTTCTTGGTTTACTGAATGACTTATTATTATTTTTAACAAAAATACTGCTAAAAACCCACAGAAGAATTAACATGAAATGCTAAAAATGTTTATGTACTAACTACAAAGACTGTAGTTAAAAAAAAAAAAAAAAGACAGCGAATAAAAAGGAAAATGGCAAATATAAATCCAATATTGCCAGCATGAAAACTTCCTGAATGTAAAGAATGATTTATAAGTCACATAACACTTCATTTGTCTGGGAAAGTGACCATCCCGGAGCACCCAACTAACATGCCCTTCCATTGACCCTGTGTTGCCTGCTGGTCAGCATAGCACTAGGTATTGGGAAAAGGGGCAAAAAACTGAATGACATGGCCTCGCCCCTAACAGTGGCAGCAACAGGTGTCCAGAGATAGGACGGTCATGCCCAGCTGTGTGGTCATTGGGGTTGGAGCTGCCCACACACTGGTCCTTGTGCTCCAGACTCAGCTGGAGGTTTCAGGCAGAGGCCACTTTTCATTCTGACAGTAATCCCACCCCTGGTGTGTCATGCAGCAGAGTGTCTGAAGAGAAGGCCCCAAATGATAGTGTTTCCCACTGGGAGGTCAACCATTTCCCATCCACCCCATGCACTCTCTGATGGGGCTTCGTAGGGGGATCAGCTTGTCCTGGTCTGCCTCATACTCTTCAAATTTTAAAATGGAAAATCCTGTGTCCCAGCAATCCCCTCAGTTCTTTTACTTGTGCTCCCAAATCCTTTTTTTCTCCAGTCTCCAGGTTTAGTGTGTGTGTGTGTGTGTGTGTGTGTGTTTGTGAAACTCAAATGGAATAATGTTTGCCAAAGTGCTTTTTAAGCCCTGCCATGAGGGATTTTTATGACATTGCCTTCGTGCCTCTTTCCCTCCAGAAAAAGCTGAGCTGCCTTCATTATGCAGCTCTCAGCGGCTCTGAGGACGTGGCTCGGGCCCTCATCCATGCTGGAGGCTGCACCAATGTGGCTGATCATGTAAGTATGGGGCCTGGACTCAAGGGGATCATCATTGGAAAGTCTTAAAGTGACCTCACTGATAAAGCACAGCAAAGAGAGATGGGCACCTTGGACCTTTGGTGTTGGGGTAGGGACAGGACTAGAGGAGCAGGCAACACTTGGGAGAGCCAGTAGAGGCAATTGTTTGGTAGCCGCCAGCATGGGAGTCGATGTTGTTGTACCAACTCATAGCGACCTTATGCACAGCAGAACGAAACATTGCCTGATCCTGGGCCAACCTCACTACTGTTGCCACGCTTAAGTCCATTGATGCTGCCACTTGACCAATCCATCTCATTGGGGTCGTCCTCTTTTTCTCTGACCTTACCAAACTCTATGGGAGTCGATAGAGCCAGTATTCTCAAAAGGTTAGTGTTATCATGTGACCAATGTTTCCACTCCTAAGTATATACCCAAAAGAAATGAAAACATATGTCCACACAAAATCTTGTACCCCAATGTCTATAATAGCATTGATCATAATAGTCCAAAGATGGAAATAACCCAAAGACCCACAACTGATGAATGGAGAGCAAAACATGGTACATCCATACAATGGAATAAAATTCACCCATAAAAAGGAAATGATTGATAAATGCTGCAATGTGGACAAACCTTGAAAATATTGTGTTAAATAAGCCAGTTATGACAGACTACATAGTGAATGATTCCACTTATATGAAGTGTTCAGAATAGGCAAATCTATAAAGACAAAGTAGATTAGCGCTTGCTTAGGGTTTGAGAGATTTAGGGATAGGTATGATAGCTAAAGGGTATGGGACTTCTTTTGGAGTTGATGTAAAGGTTCTAAAATTGACTATTGTGATAGATACAAAAATCTGTCTATGTTCTACTAATCACTGAATTATATACTTTAAATAGTGAATTGTATGATATATGAATTATATCTCAATAAAGCTGTGTTTTTTTTTAAATAAAGCTGAAAAGGCAACTATTATGTACTGTCATTGCAATTTCATAAAAATAGATTTTACCCATAAAAGTAGGAAGAACGTAATTTCAAGAGAAAATATGGGTTATTGAAATTAAGCTAATTTAACCTAAAAAGAGGGAGAGAGAGTTTGTAAGGATAAAAGCCAAATGACTAGCTGGAATCACAGATAAAAGGCCCAAGTCTTCATCATATATAAAGAGATCCTACAAATCGTGATGTGGTGCTATAGGATAAGCACTCCACTGCAAGGTCAATTTGAACCACAAGGTTGGTGGTTCAAACTCACCAGCCAATTTTTGGAAACCCTATACAGAGTCATTTTAGGTTGGAACTGACTGAATGGTAGTTAGCAACAACAAATCAATGGTACTTAGCAACAACAAAACATAAAGAACTTAAAAATGGCCAACAGATAGTTGATAGAAAAGGAAATATGGATAACTTTTAGGAGAAATGCAAATGAATGCTATATGGAGATACCATTCATCACTTGCCACATTGGCAAAAATCCAAAGTTTTTCCAAGTGTGTTGACAAACTGTGGGGACTAGACAGCACCTTGTATTCCTGGCAGGAGTATAAACTGATAGATAGTCTGTACAGAGGGCAGTTTGGCAAGATGTATAAAAAGTGCAAATGCATGTATACCCTTTGACCCAACAAATCTAATTCTAGGAATGCATTTCTACTTCCACATAGATGTACTTCCACATATGGAGGGATATGTGTACCTGTTTTGTGTATTGTTTTTATTGCAGTGTTGGTTGTCATAGCAAAAGATTTGGTCCCATGTTTAAATAGGAGACATTTTAAATAAATTATGGTTCATCCATGCAGTGGAATACTATACAACACTAGATATGGAAAAAGCACAGCACTTGGAGAGAGATCTGTGTTGTTTCCTGCCAGCGCTCATCTATCCGTTTCTTACATAAATAGTTATTAGGCACTTATCTAGTTGCTGGGGGGTAGAATGTTCAATAAGACACAGTCCTTATTCATTATGCTGCATGAAATTTGTTGATTGCAAGAGGACAGATATTGTATGAAACCAGTACTATAAAAAGTCAAGGAAAGGTTTTCATTTTATAATAAACTTTCCCCGATGGTTACCAGGGGTGGGAGGAAAGGAAGAATTATTCCCTGTTGGGATTGTAGACAACGTGTTAAGATAACTTGGGCAACGGGAACGGCAGTTAAAAAGGAAAAGAAGGAAATAAGAAGAAGGAAGGGGAGGATGAAAAGGAAATTATTTTTTCCTTTTTTTTTTCATATGCTGGAGGGAAACAATGTATATTTATTTTCTCATTTAAAAAACAATGAGCTTAAAAAAAAAGACACAATCCTTATTAACTATATGCTCTTGAGTGAGTTGTTTAAGTGTTCTGAACCTGTAGTATTTTCCTCTGTAAGGTGAGGATACTAATAAAAGTACTTCCTATGTTGCTAACAGGGATGTAAGCAAACATTATTTGCCTGGTGCAGAGTACCAGAGGAGGAAAGTGACTTGCCTCAGTCACATATAATTTCCTGGCATAGGTATTAAATTTGAGTCTTCAGGTTCCCTCCCACCTTGAAGATTGATTTTTAGGCTCCAAAGATTCAAACTTTGAGGCTGTAAATGCCTTAGGTCATCCATGTAGGCTAAGAAGTGACAAGGACCCAAATATATAAGCCTATATACCCTTCCCTGTTTTCACCTCCTAGCACCCGCTTGCAGCTGGGCATCCCTGGATGGGACTCATCAATTGATTGGTTTGTGTCTCCCCACAGCAGGGTGCCTCTCCCATACACCTTGCTGTGAAGCACAACTTCCCGGCTTTGGTTCAGCTTTTCATCGACACACAGAGTGACCTGGATGTCATCGACAATGTAAGCAGCCACAGAAACATCCTGGGACCCAGGGAACCTCTGGTCACCCTGTCAGATGGCAGGGGGTTTGGCTATTGTCTCCTAGCTTGGCTCAAACTTGAGAAATTGCTATTTTGGTCTTAAAAAAAAAATGGTTTGAATATTTATTAAAAGTAGCATTTCATGAGCCATTCCACTATTTGGGGGTAGGGGAGTGGGGCTTGGTGGCAGACTAGGCAGAAAGGCTATACAGATCTTCTTTGGCAAAAACACAGAAATCTGGATGAAGCAGATTCAAAGGACAATCCTGGAACTCTGAGCTTCAGATAAAGGGATAAATAAGTGGATCAAGTGCTTACTGGGAGAAAGATATGAAACAGGAGCAGAAAGCAACCATTTTGAACAGAGTGAGCAGATAGAAGGACAAGAGAGCACTCCCATTGCAGAAACTTACCAGAAACTTACAAAGAAGACAGAAACTGCAGCCATACCGCCAAGCTACAAATGTACCCTCTAAAACCCCACCAATTAGACAAGAGCTAATACAAGCTGCTATACACCAGAGCACTGTCTACATCCAACACTTGCTAAAAACACTCTGAATTGAGCTGTACGAGCAGTGAACAGAGAAGCCCATCTCCTGATCACATCTACCAGGAGACAATTATGTTCTTAAGAATACGCCAACATACATTCATCTCATTAATACAAATACAACATCACAATGCCTAAAAAGCAGCAGAAAATTTCTGCTCATGTGCAGAAATAAGACAGAATAGCTCAAACAAACAATCAAGAGGAAGAGCTAGAAAGTGCTTTCGAATTACCTGAAAAAGAATTCAGGAAAATGATACTGAGCTACATCCAAATGTTCCACAGAAAGGTTGAGGAAAATAAGGAAGAACTCAGAAAAGTGCTATAGCAACAATCAAATAAACTAGATACACAGCACTGGAGACAATACAAAACATACAAACCGAGATCCAGATGCTCAATGGTAAAATATCAGAAATGGGCAATATACTAAGAGGGCAGAGGAGTAGAATTGAAGTGATGGAAGCCAGAATTAGTGAGCTTGAAGAGAAATCTCTTAATACTGCTAAGATAGAAGAACAAGCAGAAAAATAGAAAGAAAAAATCTGAAGAAAGCCTAAGAGTCATGTGGGACAACAAGAAGAGGAATAACCTATGGGTGATGGGAATTCCAGGACAGGAAGAGACAAAGAAAACCACAGAAAAGATAGTCAGAGAGCTGCTGGAAGAAAATGTCCCTAACATCTTGAAAGGCGAGAAGATAAGCATTCAAGAAGCTGAATGAACCCCAGGCAGGATAGACTCCCAAAGGAAAATTAACAAGACATATCATAATCAAATTCTCCAAAATTGAAGATAAGGGAAGAACCCTGAAAGCAGCTAAGGAAAAAGGAAATGTTACTTACAAAGGAAAACCAATAAGAGTAATCTCTGATTTCTCAGAAGAAACCATGCAGGCAAGAAGGCAATGGGGAGACATATGCAAAACTCTGAAAGAAAAAAGCTGCCAACCAAGAATCGTACGACCAGCAAAGCTGTCAATCACCTATGATGGTGAAATCACAACATTTCACTATAAACAGAAATTAAGGGATTTTCTAAAAGCCAAGCCAGCACTTCAAAACATACTAAAAGGAGTTCTTTGGAGTGAAAACCAACAAGAGCAGACAACAGCCAGAGATTGACATACATGGCAACACCACTAGGAACTCAGTCCAAATATGGGTGAGTCCAGAGCAGAACAAAACTCCAAGACTGAAATTAGGGGATCTGGGATGTCAGTCTATGATCAGGACAACTATAAAGTGAAAGAAGGGAAAAGTATAGTAACAGAGATCCAGGTGTGAGAAGGTCAGGTAAGTTTCAGGATAAAACAGACTGTTTTAAACACTTGGTTATTTCTAAGTTTTTATCGTGATATATAGATACATTGTGGTGCTGTGGGTTAATGTGATGGACTGCAAAGGTGCTTTGAACTGCAAGGTTGGCGGTTCGAGCTCACCAACCACTCCTTGGAAGCCCTATACAAGGTCAGTATGAGTCAAACTGACTTGAGGGCACTTAACAAAATATCTTCCTATATTCAACCTATCCTTTCTTTGACGTTTTCCTCCCTTAGGAACATTTCCAGAACAGGGGTGACTAGGGCAGTCTTGTATAGCCAGTGGCCTCTGGGTTCTGAAGTTTCAGTCAGCAGGAGACCTTTGAAATCCCTGTCCCCACAATCCATCCTCAAATTATATAAAACTCAGTGCTGGCAAGATTGTGGTACCCACAACCCCTGGGAGGTAGAAAGCAATTTGAAATGTTCACTATTTGTACATCTGGGAGTTGAGCCTCAAGAAATATATTAAAAGCTTCATGCACAAAGATGTTCATTGCATCATTGTTTATCAGACTTGTATTTGATAATGATCCAAATATTTAATAATAGAGAAATGGTTAGACACAAATTGTTGCTGTTGTTGTTGTGTGCTGTCGAGTTGGTTCCAAATCATAGCAACCCATATAGGATTTCTGACAGCAGCTGGTGGGTTTGAGTGGCAAACCTTGTGGTTAGCAGTCCAGTGTTTATCCTAGAGCACCACACCAGAGCTCAACAATATACACATAGATAGGGTATTATGGAGCAATTTGAAATGGCATTTATAGAGTTTATAAAACATGTGAAGTTTTAAGTTAGGTAGAAAATAGAAAATAGCATGCAAAATGTACATACAGGATGATCTCAAATGTATAAACAGCAAACTAAAAATTCTGCACTAGAGAAACAACTAGAAGAAATTACAGGGGTTAATTTAGAGTGGTAGGCTGTTGTTGATAAATGCCATAGAGTCAGTTCCAACTCAGCAACCCTGTATAGGATTTCTAAGGCTTTAAAGCTTCACGAGAGCAGAAAGCTTCATCTTTGTCCTGGGCGCGGCTGGTGGGTTTGAATTGTGGGCCTTTTGGTTCTCAGTTCATGCTTATTGTATGGAACCACTGAGCTCCAGAGTGTAGGTTCATGAGTAGTTTTTCTTTCTCTCTGCTTGTTTGTGTTCTCCAAGTTTTCTTGGTATTATATTATGATGAAACCTAGCCCCAGCTCCAACTTCCTATAGAAACTTTGCTAAGACTCTGTTGAAAGTATGCCCACGTTGGTCCTGGCCTGACTTGAACCAGGTCAGGGGGTCACCTCCACATGCTTTTCTGCTCACCTGTCTTCTTGGCTTCTTCCTCAGAGGCAGCAGACGCCCCTCCACCTCGCCGCTGAGCACGCTTGGCAGGATATCGCAGAGATGTTCCTCATTGCTGGGGTTAACTTAAACCTCAGAGATAAGGTACCTCTGCTCACCCCTCATCTCCCTATCAAGCTTCCATGGTTCCCTCTTTTCCAAAGATCCTGACACAAATGCCTCCTCCTTACTCCCTGAGTGTTCAAGGTGTCTTTATCGTTTACACACCTGCTCGAATGCAGCCTCCTCCAGGAGGTCTTCCTGCCCCTCCACCACATTCGCTCTCTCCCTTGAGGTCCCTCAGCACCACGTCTGGACCTGTGATATGGCTACTTTCTGTTTCATGCCCCTTATTAGACTGTGAGTGCCTTGAGGCACCTGATTGGGGGTTGGGGGATGGAGATACAGCCCCTTACATGTGAGGCAGGGTGGGGGGAAGCTTGCCGGGTCACTGTGCCTCTGAGGTGGCAGCAGGCCAGAGGACTTGCGCTCCTTGAGGTTGGGGAGGTCACAGGCTCATGAGGAGAATGTTGCTTACACACATGGCCCAGAAAAGCCTTCTTGGGATGGTGTGACAGAGCCTAAAAGGATCAGGCTCTGAAACTAGATATATGGATAGTCTCTGGAGGTAGACAAGGCTGGCTCCATGCTAGGGTCTCGGGGCCTTAGGGAAACAGAACCAAATCAGTTGCCATCGAGTTGATTTAGACTCATGGAGACCACATGTGCATCAGAGAACTGTGTTCCAAACGCATTTCATAGCTAGATATTTTCAGAAGTAGATACCTAACTAAGCCTTTCTTCCTAGGTGCCTCTGGATGGACTCAAAACCTCCAGCCTTTCAGTTAGCAGCCAAGCACATGAACCATTGTGTCACTCAGGGACTATGGGAGTAGGGCTCCTCTGAGAATGAGGGTGGTGACACTTATCTGCCAGGGTGATGCTAAAGCGGGACACTGACTGCAGTTCATTTCCCAAAGTCTCCTAAATTCTCAAAGAAACACAAGGGTGGCTTCTAGGTTGGTGATTATTGCCTTATTCTATGTATGACTTTTCTGCTAGAAACCACGTCCTTTGGGTAGGGGGTCCGTAGTCGGTGTTAGAGCCCTCCCCTTACCCTTTCTGTAGAAATGCCTGGTGATGCTGCTGCCTCTCTTCACTTCCTGCAGCAAGGAAAAACTGCACTGGCAGTGGCCGCCCGCAGCAACCACGTCAGCCTGGTGGACATGATCATAAAAGCTGAGCGCTTCTACCAATGGCAGAAGGTACGGGGCCCCAAGCCCAGTCTTCCCATAAGGCCAAGCAGGGGCTGGAGATCTGACTTTCAACCCAGCACTGACCAATTCTGAGGCCCCTCTGTTTCCCCAAGGATGATAATCCCTGCCTTATCTACCTGTTTTAGGTATCCAGTGCTGCAATCGCAGAATACCACAAGTGGATGACATTAACAAACAGAACTTTATTCCCTCTCAATTTAGGAAGCTAGAAGTCCAAATTCAGAGCTTGAGCTCTGGAGAAGAGAGGTCCCTGTCTCCTTGCACTTCTGCAGTCCCAACATTCCATATGTCTAGGCATCAATCTAGGAGCGTCACAGAGACCCCAGGTCCAAAGGAAGCACTCCAATCCTGGCTCTTCTTTCTTGATGGTAGTAGGTTCCTCCTTCCCTGCTCATGTCTCCCTTCTTTTATCTCTTGTAAGATAAAAGAGGTTGCAAGCCACACCTCCGGGAAACGCCCTTCCATTGATTGGTTCAGGGATGTGATGGGATTAAGGCTATTGTTGCTATTAAGTACCATTGAGTTGGTTCCGAATCGTAACGACCTGTGTAGGGTTTCCAAGAAGCAGCTGGTGGCTTTGAACCTCCAACCTTGCAGTTCAACTCCACCTTGCGGTGCAGTGCTTATCCTACAGCATCATACCAGGATGTCTATACATATGTTTAAGAGGAGGTCACAATTCAATCAGTGACACTACCACCCCTGGTTGTTTGTGAGGGTGTGGAGATGGGTAAGTGTCCAAAGCACTCATGCCGATGTGGAGCTGCTGCTGGACACTTCTCTAGCTCTTGGTTAATGTGTGAGTGATGAATGCGTGCATGAGTGCATGAGTACATGCATGCCTGCATGAATAAAGAAACCGCAAGTTGGCTCCATCTCACTGCCACCTCTAGGTTGGGGTACTGTGTTTAGGTGACTCTCTCTGAGTCCAGCAGGAAAGCATGCTGAGCTTCATTAGTGATGTCTGCTATGGGACTAGGAAAGAAGATGGTCACATGTAAGGTCACCAATTTGCTATTTCTGTTGTAGACAATTGAGGGTGTGATGGAGAGGTTTTTTTGGTGTATGTCCTCTAGTTGCTAATTTCTTTCTTTTGTTTTTTGACTTTTTATTGTGAATTGAGTGAAAGTTTATAGAGCAGATCATCAGTTTTACATTCAGCAAATCATATACTTTGCTTCATTATAGTGATTGCAATCCCTTCCATGTGCCATCAGTTAACAGTATTTACCTCTATTCACTTAAATTATTGAATTAACTATTGAATTCTTCCTTATGTCTCCCTTTACTTTCATCTTTCCTTTGCCAACCTCCCTGTTGTTGTACCTACTCTGTCACCCATATTAACATGCAAAAGTAGGGAGCAAAGAGGAAGGACCAGTAGTTGGAAATTTTGGACTTGGTGATAGAAATGATGCTGGAAAATGAATGATAGATTTCTGCAAGATAAATGATTTGTTTATTTCAAATACCTTCTTTAGACAGCA